ATTCGCCATACTAAAGCCACATGAATGGTGGTCATTATAATGTTGAACATACGACTGGCGGAAATACCAGTTAGATGACGTTTCAGAAGAACCGGAGCGATTACAAAGGCTGCAAATGTTCAAAATTTATGAAAATATTTGAATACTTTATAAGGAATTCGAAAGATAAATGGAATTTTTGAGGAAATTTGATGAAAATATGAAAAAGTCACCAATATAAATATGGTACTTCCCAATGCCATGTGCAATCGTATCTTTGTCACTGTTCACTTTATCAGTGAAATATGTTATTGCTCGAACCTGAACGAAAAATCTCCTTACAACTCATAAAAGTACTGTAAATTTCTGATGCACAATAGAACTTTCTTCATAGTTTAACCGAAATTTGTGATAAAATTCGAGTACATAGGTGAAAATTCATTGATTTCATTACAAATAATGAATGAAATGCGAAAGTTTTCCATCCAAAAAACAAATATTTTCACAGAATAAAACGCTGAATTTACCATGATTTTGGTATGCTTCTCCTCGGCTGACGTTTGAACCGCAAAGAGGAGCAGTCGCGTTTTCAGTGCGTCATTCGAGTCGAACCGTTTAGAGAGTCCTGAGAGTATGGCTTCCAAGATGTCGGTTGATAATTCCATGAAAACATCTAAAAAAACACTTCTTCAGAAAAATATTAATGAATGCTCTCCGGTGGGAACAATGCAAAAAAGATGAAAATACTGGAATTTGCTTACTGGAAAATTTCTTTTATGCAAAATTCAATAAAAAAATGGTGAAATTTAAACCTCTTTCAACAGAAGTGCTCTGAGACGCAGCCGTCATGAACATCTGATGGATCACTGACCATGCTTGATCCGAGGTGGAATGACTCTTCACTCTGAATTTCGAATTTTGAATCAGAATATTGATTGAATAGAGAAATTCAATGGTAATCATGGATTCTATTCCAGATTTTCAATTCAGCTTGCGATTGTTGAAGGATTTCGCACGGAAATATGGAAATTTACAGACAAAAATCAAACGAATTCTGCTCAGTCTATGGTGTGAATGAACTAACAATCGTTCCAGAACTGGTATTGCCTCATGAGACCTCCGCCATTTCACTTGAAACTGCAGTTCAGTGATCTGGAATAATTCAGAGAAATAGATGATTAGTTTTGGAATATTCCTGTCAAAATTTCCTCCTCCCTAAACGTCTACAATGAAAATATTCACACACTGGCAACGGAATTTTCCATCACAACAGAGACATATTCATGTTCGAGCAACTCCCAAAACAGTATACCGATTGCTTTGACCAGATCAGAGCCATTTTGAATGAATTTCGGTCAATTTCATGGATTTCATACGGCCAAAATGATTCGACCTCCGAAGAATTCAGAGAATAAAACAAACAAAAGTGGATAAAATTAGATATTATTCAAAGGCTTACATCTCTCAGGTGTGGATCATAATCTTTGTAAAGCGTAGCCAGACGACAGTGGGCCTTTCCAACAGAGTAGTCGTGCTCTTCCCGAAGACATCGTTCCAGATGATATTTTGCGTTCATTTTTGTCACCATTTTGGCCTGATCTTCCGGAATTTCTCAATTTTTGGACTTTTTTGCTACAACATAGTACCTGAAAATGCGAAAGTGTCATTGGAAAATGGGGAAATGAAGTAAACTAAATGAGAAACATGCGAATAAACTAAAAATTTATGGATAAATTAAATTTGAAGAAATTTTTGAAACGAGAAAACAGTTTTCAGGAGGAATTCATCTTAGTTTGGAGGAAATTCGGCTGAATAAAGTCTGTTTTTGGATAGGATAAGAGGGTGAAAGGCTCGAAGATAACAACAACAACATGAAGATAGTATTTAAATGGTTATTNGTAAAATTATTAATTAACTTACCTTGACAACTCGCTGACTTCAACGTATTTATGTGTGTGAGTTCGTTCGATTTTATTCGGTCGTAACTGAGCAGTGTGCAAGCAAGTGCTTTCTGCCAACAATATAAAGAGAGAGGCGCGAACGAGCGGCTTTTGAATGATTAGACTTCCGAATTTTCGATTTCTTAAGGTCTCACCTGAAGAAATTTTCTTTTTTCGATGGTTTTTGTGAATTTTCGGGAATTGTTTCGTAATTTTTGATAGAAATCTGTTTCCAGCAATGTTTGCGGGTATGATTATGAACGATTCCTTGTGCTTTTGAAGCGAAATTGTGAAATTTTCAACGATAGTTTTAGAGAGTTTTCGTTTCCAGTGGTTTCACTCAGACCAATACGTCTTTTTCTGAACGATTTTTCTTAGAGAATTTGCAATATTTTGAAGAAATTCGATTCGTGAATGGTTCTGGATGTATATTGTGTGAATGAGCAAATTGGTTTTCGTTTCATAGGGCAGAATTTTCCGAAAAATTCCATTCTAAGAGTAAAAACACAGCCATTTATATTCCAGCATACAAGTTTGTAAAAATTATATTTGTGTACGTATATTCCATTTATTGTGCATTCATTTCCTCTGTATTATTTCGCACATATCAATGTTTTT